CAACAACAGCAGCAGCATATCTTGTAATATGACCAGTACCTTGTTTAGTTAGCAACAATTCTCTATGGTGAATTACATCGTTTATGTGCAAATAAATTGTCAACAGGATTTTGGCCTCTATAACTGAATAAAAAATAAAATCTTGAAATATTCATCATTTTCTGGCCCTTGTTTTACTTTTCTCCTCCTCCTCCTCTTCTTTTGCCTTTCTTTTTCTGAGTGTTGTCTCTTCTATTTTGGTAGATGTTATTAAACAACTGGCTACAGTAAAGCAGAAACTCTCTATACAACATGAAAAAGAACTACTGGACTTATGTTGTATTATTTGCACCTTGTGCTTCTTTAGCAATAGACCAAACTTTAAATGAAAAATTGTGGGACAAATTCTATCAATTATGCATAAACCAATAAAATCGTAAATGTCTTTTGTCTGTGACATTATTGAAAACATCAATTGCTCCCTGTCAGTGTTCTACATCAATTATTCTGCTTCCACATTATTTCAGGTCAAATCAAAATTGAATGCCTGCTAGGAAACAGAATATTAGAACTAGGGAGAGAGACATTTCTAAATGCAAGCATTTGCCATTCTAATTTGCAGCCCAGTTTTGCTGAAAATTCCAATCAGCCACAAAGCCCATAGAGGTTTGGGTTAGGGGGACATGACCCCAATGGCATAATAGCTCACTATCTGGGTGACTTTTTGGTTTCATATGTCTACATGATCCATCCTGCCCCTTTTTAGAGCTGTCTTGCTCTTTTTTGGGGATGGGGGCAGAGTGGTAGGGTTACATGATTCAGAGCACTATTAACTGATTTGGTAACCAGTATGGATGGTTAATTATCACCAAAATAGGGCTGAGGATGATGTTCTCTGAGGTGACAACCCACATGTTTGGTAGGTTGTGGCACTGGAGAACCCCACTTCCTCTATTTTCGTCCACTCTACTTTTTTAATTTTAAAAAACATATATACTTTCCTATTGATACAGCACTATTCTAAATAAATGAGATGCACTGGGGTGTATTTCCCTTCACTTTTTTTGCCAAAGGATGGAAATCCAGTAGTCACAGGCAATTCTATACACTCATACATGCACATATGTTCACATTAACTAACAATAACCTTTCCCATTCCATGCCTTGTCTCTTTTTTCTGTTGAAACCCCAACCCCCCTTAACCCAAAATGGATAATTTGGGGAAAGAAAGGGGAATTAATCTGTAAACACACAAGTACAAATCTATTTCCGTTTCTTGCAAAAAGAAACAAATTTCTCTCAAATTTTATTTTATTTTAAATCAAAGCAGATAACACGCTACATATCCAATCCTTTCTCTCTTTTCACAAGCCCTTGTGGTACAGAGGTTCCATGCATAAAAACACCCAAGCATGCATAGACACAGACACGTGGATCAGAGATTAAAATGCAGCAAGAGGGGAGAGGAGTGTGGGTGTGACAGCACACCAGCCCTTAATAAATAAAGAAAATAAAACAAAACATTGTATTCGCGAAGGCTTTCACGGTTGGGATCTAATGGTTCAGGCTCTTTGGCCATGTTCTGAAGGTTGTTCTTCTTAACGTTTTGCCAGTCTCTGTGGATGGCATCTTCAGAGGACAGCCCTCTGTGCTCTGGTGTAGCTGGCTTGGGAGTGAAGTATTTATGGCTGTGAGATAGGCTTTTGTCTTTTTCTGTAGATGGGTGATTAGTGTGTCTTGTTGTGGGTGTATTGTTGTGATAAGGAGAAGAGATTATCTGTCACTGTGGTTGATGGGTGTCATTAGCTGGTCTTTTGTGTGTAGTGATCCCCTGTCCTTGTGGCTGGGGGGGGTTCGTTGACCTTTTGCACGCTGTATTTTTGAGAGCTGGGAGCCAAGTTTTGTTGAGCTTCATACTTTCCTCTTTTTTGTTGAAGTTCTGCTGGTGCTTGTGGATTTCAATGGCTTCCCTGTGCAGTCTGACATAATGATTCTTGGTGTTGTCCAGTATTTCAGTATTTTGAAATAGAATTTCATGTCCAGTTTGTTTTAGGGCATGTTCAGCTACTGCAGATTTTTCTGGCTGTTTTAGTCTGCAGTGTCTCTCATGTTCTTTGATTCTGATGTGGATGCTTCATTTTGTGGTTCTAATATATACCTGGCCACAACTGCAAGGTATCTGGTATGCTCCTGAAGTGGTGAGGGGGTCCCATCTATCCTTTGCTGACCGTAACATTTGTTGTATTTTTGTAGTGGGCTTGAATACTGTTTGTAGGTTGTAGTTGGTGTAGTTGGCTTGGGAGGCTGCACTCCCGAGCCAACTACACCAGAGCACAGAGTGCTGTCCTCTGAAGATGCCAGCCACAGAGACTGGCAAAACGTTAGGAAGAACAACCTTCAGAACACGGCCAAAGAGCCTGAAAAACCCACAACAACCAAAATAAAGCATTGCTTTTAAAACCCTTAGCACATAAACCTTCAGCATCTCTATTCCTGGTCAGTTTCACTCCCCTGCTGCACAACTCGGATGAAACTGACCAGGATGCAGCAGTTGCTACAGCTCAACCCAGGTGGAGGAAATGCTGGAAACACAAATAATTTGGAAGCAATTGTGTGGTGGGCATTGCTTTTAAAACCCTTAGCACATAAACCTTCAGCATCTCTATTCCTGGTCAGTTTCACTCCCCTGCTGCACAACTCGGATGAAACTGACCAGGATGCAGCAGTTGCTACAGCTCAACCCAGGTGGAGGAAATGCTGGAAACACAAATAATTTGGAAGCAATTGTGTGGTGGTGGTAAGGATAGATGAAACTGACCAGGATGCAGGAGTTGGTACAGCTCAAGGTGGAGGAAATGCTGGAAACTCAAATAATTTGGAAGCAATTGTGTGGTGGTGGTAAGGATTAATACATGGCTAAAAATTACATTTTCACTGTAAATGTTGATTTGCCTTCCAAACAAGGCACTGGAACCCTTTTCACACTTAGACCCTCTCCCCTTGAAAAACAAAACAAAGCAGAACAAAAACAAAGGGGAGTTTGGTATAAAAATGTTTAAAAGGAAAATAATGGTAAAAATTGCAGCATATTCACGTGAAGTTGTAAAAGCCCTTAAAATCTGATTAAATCATTTTCAAAAGACTCTCACATTAGATCTCAAAGATCAGCCAAGCCTCATTAACTCATTACCCATCTTTTGACTTTTCTGTTGTACAAGTGCCATTACTTTAATTAATAATTTTCCTAAACTACAAGTAGTGACGTTTTTGCCTGGAGATACTTAGATCCACAAACATAATTTATTAAATTGCCTTTTAATCCAACCAATGCATTAAGCTTCATATTTTGGCCCTGTTTAACTCCAATGTAACTGGGACAAGGCAGCGCTGCAGGTTAAAACACGGAAGCCTCTGTGCTGCAAGGTCAGAAGACCAGCAGTCGTAAGATCGAATCCACGTGACGGAGTGAGCTCCCGTCGCTTGTCCCAGCTCCTGCCAAGCTAGCAGTTCAAAAGCATATAAATGCGAGTAGATAAATAGGTACCACCTTGGTGGGAAGGTAACGGCATTCCATGTCTAGTCATGCTAGCCACATGACCACAGAAACTGTCTATGGACAAATGCTGGCTCTACGGCTTGGAGATGGGGATGGGCACCACGCCCTAGAGTTGGACACAACTGGACTAAATGTCAAGGGGAACCATTACCTTTACCTTAACTCAAATATACCAAGTATAAATTCATACATGAACAGTTTTGCAGAGGAGACATTTTTAAAAATCACTTCAGAGACACTATACAATTACAGACAATTTGTGATTAGAATTTATTATATGCAGAGGCATCTTTGCAGTAAATAATGAAGGGTCTGATCACATGGGAAATAAATTGCAATTTGGACAGTTTTTGGAGCAATCCAGTGCAATCTGTTTCCCAGCCATCATGCTGCATGGGGAAATGTGTTCCATCCCAACCCCAATATGTGTCCAAGCTGGACCTTTTTGGTCCAGCTGGAGGGGTTCTACATTTTGGGGCCAGGCTGGAGCAATTCCCTGGCAGACAGAAGTATCTGCTCAGGGAGACTGCTCCAGTTTAATCACTTTCCAGTGCAATCACTTTTCAGCCATTGAATGGCATCCTGGATGATAAATAGCAATCCCACAAGAATCTATTTTCAGTCACAAAATCCCTTCCTCTGTTGGAATGATACAGAAATGGGTAGTGCAGAGAAAGCCATTTTCTTTGTATTCCCTTGAAGTTTGATGGTAATGCAGAGAAAGCCATTTTCTCTTCTTTGTATTCCCTTGAAGTTTGATGGTATCTCAACTACCAAACAAGTCTTCCTTTCTTCCTACATCTACAAGAATTGACAGTAACTGGCTAGTAGAGAGTCACCAAGTATTCAGAGAAACTTTGGCTCTAAGAAACTAAACATATATAATGTTTTATTTATTGAGGAGGCTCTTCAAACTTCTCATTTTAAAACACTGCCATTGTAAGCAGCTCCACAGAGAGAATGGCATCCATGGCTATTGAGCTCTGGTTGCAGTAGTACCGTTTTTTGACAACATGAGATGGATCAGCATTTTTGATATGAGGATAGATTTATCTTTGAAAAGCATGTGGTGTTACAGAAAACCAAACATGCTAAAAACAGATGTTTGTACAAGTCTGTGCAATTAAGCTATACAACCTGTATAGGAGTCTATTATTCTAAGCAACACATGCTAAGAGTTTATGTTGTTTAATAGTATTAAGAGCTCAAAATAAAGAGTAAATAAACTGTGTGGTCTTTCTTGTTCTTTTCATTAAGAATTATTTCTTAAGGCTGCTGCATGTGGTGATTAAATCATATTTTCCTGCAAGCTTGTTTACAGAAGAGGAAATGTTAATGAAAAAGTATTATCCATGTCTATATCTTCTGTTTGGCTTTCAGATAACAATTAAGCAACCAAAACAGTCTACTGAATTAATTCTAAAGATTACTGCACAATTTTGTTTATTACAACATCTTTCCTTACCATTCACTTGAAGAATATGAGTCTGATAGAGTTTCTCATATCCATCTGCATAGCAGGTGTAATTTCCCATGTGAGTTGTAGTAATCTTAGTAATATACAAGGACCCATCATCACCAAAATCCTGAAGAGAAAGGAGAATAACAAGGCATTCACAATTACTTGGATGGTACTTGGATAGCTTTTCCACTAATCTTAAATAATCAGTTATGAAATAAATGGAAATGAATATATAATCTCAGAGCCAACAACCTACTCAGCGCCAAAACTCCACTGGAAATATATCAGGACCATGAGGACAGAAACTGAGCTGAAGATCTATCACATGGCAAATTCTGCTTCAGTGATCAAGATTATCAGCCAATTACTGTGACCATGGGCAATTTCCAGATGGATAGCTCTTAACACTCCCAGTCAAATAATGTGGTGTAGTTATTCCTCCTCTTTTTAACAGATTTTCCCCTTTTGTGGCATAAAAAAGAGAGGCAACAGTGGAGAGAGGATGAGAGGGTTACAAACAGAAGATAGACCCTGTCTCAGAAGTCAATGTTTTGGACAGAAAGCTTGCACATAAGAACCTTTTGAAAATAAGTTAAGAGTTCTGGCATTCTTCCAGAAATGCCACACCTTCAAAAATTACAACCTGGACTTCCCAGCATGTGTCCTATCAAAGTAAACATAGTCTGGACTTCCTATCTATCTATCTATCTATCTATCTATCTATCTATCTATCTATCTATCTATCTATCTATCTATCTATCTATCTATCTATCTATCTATCTATCTATCTATCTATCTATCTATCTATCTATCTACCGCCCATCTAGACATAGACTCTGGGCGGCTCACAACATACAAAATAAAAACAATTTAAAATATACACAGTTTTACATAGATAAAAACAACATGATATAAAATATAATATCGTAGATTTACAATTTTAACAATTAATTTAAGGCAAACAATCCCAAGATGGCTAAAATCAAAACGAAGAGAAATAAAAAATAAGAATGACTTAATTGACTGAAGGGAAGGTCTGCTTGAATAGCCAAGTTTTCAGCTGGCTTTTGAAAATGCCCAGCGAGGGTGCCAGCCAAATTTCGGTAGGGAGGGTGCTCCACAGCCGAGTGTATTTATTGTACACTGCCAGATCATGATCATAAGCAAACACATTGGCTGAAATTCTGTAGCTTAGTGTTCCATTGATTCAAATGGGTTCTACTCTAGTGGCAACATACTGCATGAAAGTAAGTTGCAACTAGAGCAGGCTCATTTGAATCAATGGAGCTTATACAAGTTTGCTTAACTCAGCAAATCTCCACTGGCCCAATGGGGTTACTCTAATGCAACGCACTATGCTAATCAACAAGATTTCAGCCAATATTTGGGGTCCTTGAAATGCTAGCAAAAATAGGAGATTGATTTGTTAAGCTCTGAACAGACCATCATATATGACTGATTGCCTGTATTACGCTTGGTGGGTCATATGCTGTTCAGGACTGCCTTAAAACAAGAGAAGATTCATCTTCTGACCATTAAGTTTTTATTCGTTAGGTAGTGTTCTGCTCTAATAAACCCCAGAACATTTGAAGTGGTATTAAATATAATACGTATACAGCAATGAGAACAAAGAGAATCAAAATACATAACAGGATATGAAAGTTGTCCTCTCAAGTTGGAATTGACTTACAGTGACCTTGATAGAGCTTTCAAGATAAGTGAGATATTTAAGGAGTGGTTTTACCAGTTCCACCCACCCAGTATGCTTCCATGGCTGAGCAGGAACTTCAACCTAGGCCTTCTGAACCCTAATCCATCACTGTATCACAGGAGGTATCCATATGAAAGTTACTCAGTACTTTGCTGTCAAGAGGTAAATAATAATTGTTTTTCTTTACTTTTTAGAAAAATGTAAATAATTTTCCTTTCTTTTTAAAAAAAACTCTTCAGGGTTTTGTAATCAGTTTTGCAGAGGAAAGGTTGCTTGAATTCTTTCTAAGAACTTGTTCACTCCAGCTACGCGGGGATATTTGTATTCGTATACGAATACCCCCATCTCCAGTAGTGACCAGAAGAGGTTATCCTTTAGACCACCTTTACTGCTGCCATTGGTGTTGCCCTTTGTTATGCAAAGTTTGGCATCCTTTTTCCTGTTGTCAATACAAGCATGATATTGTGTAGCAACATCAGGGCATTTTCTGAGTTTTTGAATTGTGAATACAAAAGTACAATATTTCACATTCATAAACCAGACAGTTGTTTTAAAGAATGTAATCTCAGCTATTATGTCCCAAACTCAACAATAACAAACAGCTCAATATGACTGCCATCCATGTTTTAATTAGGCCATTAACATTTGTTATTACTTATTTCACTTTAAATCTTTATCTTGTCTTTTTGTCCCCCTACCCTGGAATAATGACACAAGACAAATATCATGGGATAAGCATGGGGCACACTTTATTGAATAATCATTATTGCCCACCATAAAAGTGGGGTTCTGCCATAGTGTGCAATCAGGTTCCACACAGTGGTCTCAACAGATCCCTTACCAAACAAATGGGCAAGTCCCTAGCCCAAAGGCCGGAAAATTTGACCACCCCCGGACCTCAAGCTACCTTCTCCTTGTTGATTGTTGGTCCGGGTGTGGCCCCAGTGCTTCTTTCCCGCCCCCCGGCACTGTAATTGCACGATCCGCAACTTCTCCCCCCCCCGGCACTGTAATTGCACGATCCGCAGCGCTGGGAGGTCAGGTGAGCTATACCTTACCTGAGATTGTGAGGAGATTCACCAAAACCTGTCCTATCTGTACTACCCACCTGTGTGACTGGATATTTTCCACCTCTCAAAATGCCATCACACCTTGACCATTGTGGGATAGGCAAAAAATCCCCGCATTCAAAAGCCAATCAGAATGCATGTCAAAAATTCCTATCCAGCCCCAAAAGGCAACCAGATAAACTCACACTAGTACATACAGCAGGCAAGTGGGTTGACATCAAGGAAGAGGTCAAAGGGAGAGGGGAATGCCTCTTAAGTATTGTAGCTCACTCCTTCCCCCCTCCCTTCCCGGGTCACTCTCGCAAGACTTCCAACGCCTCATGATATCCCGGGAGGAAGCAAAGGTGCTCCGCGCTGCACATCAGCAGACCGAACAGTGTTCTAACACTATTAAAATCAACAGGCATCAAGATGGTATTTCTCTTACAGAGTCTTGTAGTGCCTATCTTTTTATAAAACTGCAGTAAGCTAATTGGAGCAACCACTTAGCTAGACACACATGGAGTCCCACAGAAAGCATATCATGATACAAGACAGCTTTTGTTGTACAATATTTAACGCAGCACTAAAACGCAACATATGCTTACAATTAAATGATAGAATTAACACAGCAAAGTAGATTTTCTACTTAGTCTTGGTAAGTTAAATGTATATAGTCTGAATTGCTGAGTGAATTTTTTTTCCAGATGATAATGTAGTGCTGAGAACTCTCAGGCCACTCCTTTAGAAGTTAACAATCTGCGCTGGGCTCAGTTTGTCACAAATTACCATTTGTAGACACTCATCAAATGCTCCAATGCTATTGCTATTTCCTCTGACATTTCACATATATTGTCTGATACAACATATTTATTTACACACAATGGAACAAACATTCTTGGGCTTGTCATTTTCACATCATTCATTCCATTTTGATAGGAAGTCATCAGAAAACTCCACTGCTTCATGGCAGAATTACACTATGACAACTCAAGAGATGAAAACTGCCTGCAGCATGATTTGGTGACAGCTCAGATGCAGAATTGGCCACACAAAAGTTAAAACAAACAGCCAACCTAGCAGCTATTTCTTCTCATTTATGAAAAGGGGAAGCAAGTATGCTCACAGGAGAAACCTGGAATCATTATAGGTTTCTGAAGACAACACTGGAGAGTAGCACTAAAAGTGCACTTAAAATACTAGGAAGCTACATACAGTTCCTCAGAGAAATTAAAAGGCAACAGCAGAAGAAAAGCAAATCCCATGGCAACTAATCAAAGACAATATTACCTTGCATGTGTAACAGATCATGGAGAAACAACTATATTTCACAGAGTTTCATGTTACATAGTGTAATTAATAACTCCTTGCCAAGTTTGGCTGGAGAAGAAGAATCAAGAATATAAGGGGGGTGTATGCTGACCCATGAGAAGGGTTGCTGCCTCCCTAAGGGAGAAGAAGCATGTACATAATTTTGCATCTACTGTGGTGCCTCAACTTACAAACTTAATCCGTTCCAGAAGATGGTTGTAACTCGAAATGGCCGTAAGTTGAAGCACCATTTCCCATAGGAATGCATTGGAATGCAATTAATCCATTCCAGACCAAAAAAAAAAAATCACAAAAAACCCCACAAAAAAACACAGCAAGCCCAATCGAAATCACCAAAAAAAAAAAATGCAAGCCCCACTGGAATGCATCGGGGGTGGAAAAAAATCACCAAAAACAAACAAACAAACAAAAATCCAAGCCCCATCAGAACACACTGGGGCTTTTAAAAAAATCACCAAACAAACAAACAAAACCCCACAGCAAGCCCCATCAGAATGCGCTGGGGCTGAAAAAAACACACACACAGTGAAACACACACAAAAATTACAGCACAAAAACATACACCCCCAGCCCAAACCCACCGTGTAAAATCCTGTATGTACTCACTCAGAAGCAAAAAGCAGCACCAGGCAGCCCGAAGCCTCCTCTGACACACACTCTCTAACTGTTGGGGCAGAATAGCTACAAAGAAGCAGCCTCCTCACCGACCAACGGTTAGGAATTTAAATTACCCACCTTTTCCCCCGCCTTTTTTCCGGTTGTAACTTGAAGCTCCGGTCACAAGTAGAAGCAAAATTTTGCTGCCAGAGCTGGTCGTAACTTGAAATGGTTGTAAGTTGGGACGTTCGTAAGTTGTCAGACATGATTCTTAATTTGACAGAATTCACCATAGATCCAGAAATTTAAGGATATCTTATTGTAAATGCCAAACTGATCCTGTGCCCAATCCAGGAATTACATAACTAGGTACATATGTAAAAACAATTTAGTAGGGACCATGGTTTTTTTTTTACACATTCCAAAGCTATAGCA